GTTTGTGGCACGAATGGGAAGGAGATGCTGCTGCTTTCTGGCGTGATTTCGTTTCAGCATCTCAGGGGCGCTGCATCGGCTGCCCCACCCCGACCCGGGCTAGCAGCCCCGGGGCCAGCTCCCCCTCTGGCCTGTACGGTGCTGCCCCTCTGTCTCCAAGTGCCCTTCCTCTCCTGATTCATCCATCCTATAAGCCATGCGGCATTCCTGCTACCCCAGGTTCCTGTCTGTCTGTGTTCATGGGAGGAGACCCTTGTGCAGGGAGGTCTGTTGAGGGCCTGGTGGAGGGGGGATGCTGGTGGAGCGGAACAGAGAGGACTGGGTCGGGGGACTGGTGTGGAGGTCACCAGGGCCAGCCGTGGGTCTTGCTCTGCTGTTCCTTGTGTCCAGGTGGCAAAGGGAGGGGGTTACAGGAAAGGTCAAGGGGCCTCCTGGCATGGCTCCTGGAAGCTACTGTGAAGCTCAGTCCAGCCAGGTGACGGTCACCTCGGCCTAGAGAGGGGGCCAGACTGAGGCCGCCCATTTCACAGAGGGAGCGTTGAGTCCCGGGGCGCTTGGCACTGACCCAGAGCTTTGTGGTCTGTAGGAGGAGCGCCCAGGACAGTGGGTTTGCAGCCCGCCCCCATTCCTTTCCCACGCTGGAGTGTTTCTCAGTGGGGTCCTGGTGAGGGGGTGGAGGAACAGGAGGCGAGGAGAGCAGATTCCCCAGGGCTCAGGCCTGCCCTCTGGTCCTCTGGCATGGAGACAAAGCTCCCTAGGAAAAATGCCTGTTGCCCCCAAACTGGCGGGAAATCCATGCCAATAGTTCATTCCAGCAAAAAGGTGCTCAGGAAAAAAGTCTACAAGAACTTAGGCGACAGTGTTAGCCCAGGAGTGGCAGGTTGGTGAGTGGTATCATTCTGTCTCTTTCGCTGTGATGTCCAGATTCCCCAGAATGTATGAGAAACCTTTAGAACCAGGAAGATGAAGTTAGGTTCTAAGAGAGATAAGAAAAGGGGCTGTGAGAACAGCCAGCTCCCCATTTGTTGGATTCTCGGGTCCCTGCTCGTGAGTAGCCTCCAGGGAGGCTGGCTGTGGGGTCTCAGGGTAGGAGTTGCCCGGCCCCAGGGACGTCCCCCAGAACAGGTGCGCTGGGGGCACACAGCGTCCGTCTCTCTCATTCCTGGAGACTGGGTCAGTGAGAGTCCAGGCCAAGGGGTACTGGGATGCCGCGCCCCGAGGATTCCGTCCACTCGTCCGACCTCCTTCCTGTGGCCCCAGTCCAGCCTCTGCACCTCTTCCCCTGCACACCCCACATTCCTGCCTCGGGGCTGTTACTGTGCTGGACTCTTCACCCGGAAAGCCAGCCACTCCACCCAGGTGTTGGCATTCACCTAGGAAGCCACCCCTGCCCCTTCCAACCAGAGGCGACCCCAGGGCTGCTGACATTACTGTCCCCCCAACCCCTGTGCCCAGTGGATTGACTGTCCCCTGACTGACCCTGCCTCTAAGTGCATTTCTGGCAGTCCTTCTGAGCCATAGTCAAGTTCTCCGTCTGTGGTCATGGTCTTCCCAGTGACAGCTGAGCCCCGATTCCCAGTGGGGACTCGATCTCTGTCTGCACCACGGCCCCTGACTCTGTCCTTGGTACAAAGCAGTTGTTCATTCATTTAGCACTTGATCACCGGTGTCTTCTCTGTGTCGGGGGCTGGGCTACATTCCAGGGCAGGGTGTGATCATGTCTGTGTTTTTGTGCTTTTTTTTTTTTTTTTTGGTGAATTACCTGTGCACGCACACAGCAGGAGCACCTCCATCATACGAATGCATGTCCCTTAGGCTGTGCCTGTGTGTAATCCTGTCAGTCCCCAGCATGCCTAGCTAATTCATTCAGCAAGCATTTATTCAGTGCCCACAAGGAGGTGCCGGGCTATGACCCAGAAGCTGAGTGGCCCAAGGTCTCTGCCCTTGGGAAGTGCCTGTCTCGTGGGGCCATTATAGAGTGGGCTGGTGGGGAATGGAGGCCAGTAGGCGTGGGGGTGGTCAGGACGGCATCCTGGGGTGACAAGGAGAGGGGTGGGGAGGGGCATTCCTGCCAGGGCTGTGGGTTGGCTCCGCGATCCCGCCATGGCCCTGGGAGCCCAAGCGGGCCCTCCTTGCTGGGCCATGGAGCCCTGGGCTGTGAGTGCTGCCGCTGGTGCTAGGAGGAGGGCACAGTGCCCTGAAGAGGGAGTGTGTTGGCTGGAGAACCTGGGCTGCAGAACTTTCTTTTTTAAAAAAATGATTTATTTATTTTTGGCTGTACCGGGTCTTCATTGCTGCAAGGGTTTTCTCTAGTTGGGGTGCATGGGCTTCCCACTGTGGTGGCCTGTGTTGCCGTGAAGCATGGCCTCTGGGCGCGCTGGCTTCAGCAGTTGCAGCACTCGGACTCAGTAGTTGTGCTGCATGGGCTTGGTTGCTCCGCAGCCTGTGGAATCTTCCTGGACTGGGGATTGAACCCATGTCCCCTGCGTTGGCAGGTGGATTCTTATCCACTGTACCACCCGGGCAGTCTCTCCAGCTACAGAACTTTCTATGAGAGGCAAGCCTTGGAACTAGAACCCAGAACACAGCAACCAGAAAGTAGGAACCCCCTCCCCCAATTCAGACCAGGGAAACTAGAAGATGGAACTTGGAGAGGGAACATGGAGCAGCAAACCTAGAATTCGGCCTGTTGGAATGTGGAATGCTGATATGGGTCAAGCTGGAAGGTCATGTCTGTGCCCCCAGGGGTCAGTGGGAAACTGAGGTCCAGAGAGGTTGGGGAGGCCCTTATCTTGGGGAGCAGCAATGGGCATGCATGTGGTCTCCGCTGAGCCAGTCCCTTCCTACAGCCTCCTTGGATGAGGCACGTCCACTCTCTAAGCCCCGGTTTCCCTGTCTCTGAAGTGGGCTTGTGAAGATGAGCTAGGATGAAGCACACCGCCTGGGAAGGGGATGCTGCTCTTGGTGCTCAGGGTCTCCCGGGAGGTTAGCGGAATTGCCGAGGCCAGGACCCCAGCTACCTGGCCCCTGGGATGACCTCACCTGTGGTGATGGTTCTGTCCCTACTATTTCATTCCCTGTCTCCTGCCCCGTGGTAGGCGGGAAATCTGAGCACCAGCCTGTTCCAGAATGCTCCGTGGATCCAGTGGGCGGGAAGAACTAAGTCATTATTGGGCAAGAACAGATTGGTAGCACCCCTGAAATTAAGGAGCGGGGGCCCAGTGCTGGCAGCCCTGTGTGATATGCCCTCCAGTGGTGGCGGCTTACAGAGAGTGCCTGGTGGGGACAGTCAGGTCCTGACCCAGGCATGCTGTAGCCCCTCGCAGGCCGGGTAGGACAGAGAAAAATCAGGGAGGGAAAAGAGAAAAGGCTCATTGTTTAGCCTCCAGGAGGCTCACCAGGTGCCCAGAGCCCCAGAGCCAAACAGCTGTGTACCTGCTCAGGACTGCACCCAGCAGGAGGTTAATTATGGTGCTCAGGTTCCCCGGTGGCAGGAGTTGCCGCCCCGGGGCCAGGTGCAGCCCCCAAACCCTCCGGGGAGCCTGCAGGCAGCCTTACCAGCTTCCCTTTCACACCGCAGCAGACAAGCCCGGAGAGAGTGGGAGTTTTGCTTGGGGTCGCAGAGCTGGGGGTGGCAGAGCCAGGGCTCAAACCCATTTCCTCCCTCAGCAGCAGCCGCTTGAGCACCTACTACTGTGTGCCAGGCCTGGATTGGGCACTGAGCACAGAGTGGTGAGCCATGGTGGGAAGGATCGTAACCTGCTCGAAGTGGTTGCTTCACTTCCCACCTTCCCGTCCCTCCTCACGGACATCAGGCGTCACGCTGCTCAGAGCATTCTGAGGATGGAGTCTCAGAACTGTGTCTCCCTTTACCACCAGCCCGTTGGAAGGGACCCTTAGGATGCACGTAGATGAGCCCCTTCACTGGGGCGTCCTGAGCGCAAGGTCACACGGAAGACAGAGCTAGGAGTTGCAGCCACCTTTCCAAGCCCCCGACCAGACCCGAGAGCCCAGCAGCACTAACTGAAAAGTACAGTGTATGGATTTGGGGGGTGGGTGGGGGTCTTTCATTCATTCATTCTCCAAGTCTCTATGTCAGGCTCTGGGCTGGGGCTGGGGACCCCAGGGTATTGGGGGGCCAGGCCAGGGTTGAGATGGCTCGGCTCTGTCCACAGGCTAGGGTCAGAGAGGCCTGGAGGGAGTCAAGTCCAGTTCAGCTGAACCCTCCCGAGTCCGGCGTGGGGCCGGGGAGTGTAAAATTGCACAGAAACCTGGAGCCTCCTGAGAGATCTGGACTTTATCCTGAGGGCCAGGCTGGGAGGGGCAGCGTCAGATGTGGCTCCTGCCTGGCTCCAGGGCACCTGGCTGAGAGCCCCCCTAGGAAGACCGCAGCTGCTGTCCAGGTGAGCACTGGCAGTGGCACAGCCAGCAGGAGACGGGGCACAGGGTGAAGGGTGGGGCTCGAGAGGTTTCAGGGCACGGAACAGACCCGCCGTGGTGACCGGTGTGTAGGGTCAGCGAGGGGGAGGCTTTAGGGCGGCTCCTGGGGTCCTGGCATGGGCTCCTGGGTGGCAGCTCACATCACCAACGGGGCGCAGAAGAAGGCAAGTTGGTAACGGCCACGGTTGTCCCAGTCCTCGGTGCCAGGCTCAGGTCACGGGTTGTCGGCTCAGGTTGTTAGAACAACCATTGGAGTGAGTTCTTTGCGCCCTGTCTTGCGGCTGAGGGTGGCAGGCAGGCATGATGGGAACTGACTGTAAAGCTCAGGTCCCTGCCCTCCCTGCAGCCCGTCCCAGGTCTGCCTGTCTGTGTCCCTCAGCCCAGCCGGTGCTCAGGTCTCCCGCGTACAAAGGTGCACCCTACCCACCCCCGCCCCGTGCACGTGGGGAGGTGCCCATGGGAAACCTTCCACTCCCACTGCCTAGGAACACAGGGACCAACCTCTGCCTGCGTCCTGTGCGTGAGCACCCCCACCACCCTGGGCATGGGCACCCTCTTACCCCCTCCCCGCCCCCCAGCACAGGCACTCTCCCACCCCAACCTCCCAGGGTGCAACGCCTGGGACAAAGTTCCTCCAGCTGCAGCTTGACTCTCTTGCCCACCCAGCCTGTACAAGAGAAAGCACGTGAGGACAGAGAAGGGGTGGGGCAGGCCCTCCCCTCCCCTCCCCTCCCCCACTCAGGCCTTCTGGGCTGGAGATGGAGCTGAGGCTCGGAACTGAAGTGGCCCTTTGTACATTGTCCCTGGAGGATGGGCGAGCCTGAGCGGGAGGGGCTGGCACTGCCGGGGCTGCCTGCCTGGGAAGGATGGCGCTGATCTCAGCAGGGCTGGGGGCAGGGAAGGGGCAAGCGGAGAGCATCCTGCTAAGCGAGGGTGTGCACCGGTGGGCCGGGCGCCCCAGGCACCTCCAAGCTGGATTGATACTTGCCACCGGGGAGTCTAGCATCACTTCTCATCCAGGTTCCGGTCCTCACTCAGCAGCTGTTTGTGGAGCTCCTGCTCCGGGCCTGGGCTTTCCCTTAGGGAGTGGGGAGCAGCAGGGACTGGCGACTGTGGCCCACGGTGACCCTGCTCTCCTGTTGTTGACATTCCAAGCGAGCAGGGTGTGGGTGGGGGAGACAGACCACTAACACATAAACAAGGAGACAGATCACTTCCGCAGTGAGGAGTGTGTGGAGCCCATGACCGGGAGGGGACCACTGCTTTAGCTGGTTGGTCAGGAAGGCCCCCCTGAGCAGCAGCCGGCATGTGAAGATCCCAGGGAAGGGCATTCTGGGTGGAGGGAACAGTCAGGGCGAGGACCCTGAGACAGGTGAGCCTGGGGTGCAGAAGGGACGGGAGGCAGGGACTGTGGCCGGAGTCACATGGACGAGGGACGTGAGGTCAGCAAAGATGCAGGGACCAGATGGCCAGGACCTGTGGGTACAGAAAGGAGTTGGGATTTTATTCTGAGTGCAATGAGCATTCAGAGCAGGGGGATGTGGCCACTGGGGCCTTTGCAGTGACAGAACTGGTGGGGCTCAATGCCAAAGGAAAACGTAGGGCCCTTTGTTCACAAATTGAGAATTTCAAGAGAGGGGACTTCCCTGCCAGTCCAGTGGTTAGGACTCTGCGCTTTCACTGCAGGGGGCATGGGTTCAATCCCTGGCTGGGAAACTAAGATCCTACTTGCCCGGAGGTGGCCAAAAAAAACAATTTCAAGACGAAAAAAGATATAAGCAAGAGGGAGACCAGTGAGGAGGACAAGGAGGAGGGGCCTTTTGGAGGGAAGTGCCAACTGGCCTACCAGCATCCCTGCCAGGCCATCCAGGCACACAGAGGGCATGTGGAGAGCAGGCATTGACCCCAGCCTGGAAGCTCCACGAACTGGTTTCTCTCTTTGGGTGTTATCCTGTTTAATCCTCCTGGGGTGAGGGGCTGGGGTGGTCTGGAAGGACAAGCGGCTGGGAGGTGGGCCAAGAGCTGTGGGCCCAAGATGCAGGGGTCTCTGGGGGAGTCTCCTCCCCACTGGCTTTGGTGGGCTCCATAAAGATGTGCGTAAACTCTGGGAGTGATGGACAGGGAGGCCTGGCGTGCTACAGTCCATGGGGTTGCAAAGAGTCAGACAGGAATGAGCGACTGACCTGAACTGATAAAGATATGAACAATGGGCCTGCATGAGGCAGGCTTCTGTCCACATTCCATGAAAGCTGGGCAGCGTGTTCCTGTCCTATACTGGAAGGAGCTGGGTTCTTCTCCATCCTTCAATCAGAAGCTCTATTAATGATTAATAGTCCGCCTGAGTCATTATTGCAGGCCTGAGCTCCCCTCCCTGCTGCCTTGGCCCCACCCTGGCTGGACCCTGGCCTCCTCTCACCTTCCTCCCCATTCCAGCACTGCATGGCACCCCGCCTCTCCCAGCCCGTCTTTCTCTGCAGAGAGAGCCCTTGGGCCGGCCCCCCCATGTGGGAATGTCCTCTCAACTCTCCTCACTCGGGTCTTCAGCCACCCGACTGGGTTGGGCTGTGGGGCAGACAGACAAAACGACAGGACGGTTCCCTCAGGCAGATGGGGGCTTCTGAGCAGTCGGGGTTTGAAGCCCCCCCGACCCGCGCTGAGAGATGAAGACTAAGCTGGGGGGTGCGTGGGGGGGGGGGAGAAGGGAGTCCCAGGGGTGTGGAAAGAGTGTTTAAAGACTTCTAACGCGTCCCACCTCCAGCAGCACCAATGCTGGCAGTTCTGCCAGACACGCTTCTCTGGCGCCAGGGCCAGCTTCATGTCTTGACCCTCTCTGGAGGACCCTGGAGAGGGCCGTTCCTAACACAGAGAACTAAGGCCCTGGCCCGCGATGGACTTGGACATGGAGCCAGGCAGTAGAGTAGCACGCTGATTTCTGATCCGCGGGCATCCTCGGCGAGTCAGGGCAGTATCAGTTCAGTCGCTCGGTCGTGTCCGACTCTCTGCGACCCCATGAACTGCAGCACGCCAGGCCTCCCTGTCCATCACCAACTCCCGGAGTTTACTCAGACTCATGTCCGTTGAGTCAGTCCTGGAAATCAGGGTAGGGTTCACAGTGACCTTCCACCCAGAGAGGGAGCAGGGGCAGGCCCCCAGAGGAGCTGGGCTTGCAGTTTCCCGAGCGCAGGGTACCAGTAGGCCCCTCACCTGCGAGACGGAAACCCCAGGTCCTCCACCTCCTCGGCCCCTGGCTTTGGGGAGCGGCTCCGTCAGGGTGGGGCTGCCTCGCCCTGCCCTGCCGCCCTGTTATCTGTTTGTACCTCAGTGGATGAGGAGACTGAGGCCCGGACAAGTGGGAGGAGGTGGAGCCAGGAAGTCACCCCCTGTGAAGGGCAGAGCTGGCGCCAGGCCAGGCCCAGGCGGCTCATCATGTAGCCACCTACCTTCCTGCGGCCTGCGCGCAGCCTGCGGGGTGGGGACCGCCCTCAGGGAGGAAGCAGCTGCCGTCTGGCCATGGGCGCCGGGCACTGGGTCAGGCAGCGCCTTGCAGCCGCTGGGATGGGACGCTGCCTCCCCTGTGGCTTCCCACCCTGGGGTCCGGGGCAGGTACCGGGTCAGGGGAGGGGAGGGTGGGCCTGGGGGCTCCAGGGAGGGGCCAGGCAAGAGAGCAAGGCAGGGGAGGGTGGCGGGGAGCGGAAAGCCCCAGAGTCCAGGTCGGACACTCTGCCGCCACTTAGAGGGGGGGTCAGGCTGGGCACTCCGACCCTGAACCTCTTTTTTCACCTGTGATGGCGCTGGCGGCTAATGACAGGATCCAACTGGAGCAAAAGTACTTAGTGTCCCTGCCAGAGGGTGGCTCTGGGATAGGCCTCGGGTGGGCCCACTTCTTCCGCCCATATTGGCAACAGGCTGGTGGCGATGGCTGTGGGTACAGGAGCCCGGGGGTCCCCAGGCCATGTGGTCAGGCCCAACTGGCAAACAGCAAGCAAACAGAAACCCCCGAGTGGGGGTGCAATTGTGTGGTACCCTCACTGTCTGAGTTCCGGGCCAGTAGGACCAGGGAGAAGATAATGGGGAAGGTGGGGATAAAAACTGAAGAGAGGGTGTGGGCTGGGGGCAGCAAGAGTCAGGTCCTCTGAGAGGTTTCAGGCCCCCAGAGCTCCTGAAGTCCAGGCCTGGCCTCAGAGGTTCCCCAACTTTTTGGAGCACCAGACCCCCTTTAGGCTACTGGAGACTGTAACATGGGACCCTGTTCAGGGTGATCTGTTCCATTGGAGTTGGATGAGGTGCTGGGAAAGGGCCCTGGGGCTCCCTCAGCCTTTCTCAGGAAACTCTAAGTTTTGTGAAATGTGTGTTGTTTTTTTGTTTGTTTTAATTTTTATTTATTATTTGGCTGTGCTGGGTCTTAGCTGTGGCACAAGAGATCTTTAGTTGTGGCATGCAAACTCTTAGTTGCGACATGTGGGATCTAGTTCCCTGACCAGGGATCGAACCCGGGTCCCCTGCATTAGGAAGTGCAGCGTCTTAGTCACTGGACCACCAGGGAAGTCCCTGAAATGCAGTTTGAAGTCAACGCAGGTCAACCTTGCAGAGCATCCCAGGGTGGGGTGGGAGGACTCACATCGTTACAGGGGACGGGGAGGGAAGCTGCCAGTCAAGGGACTTTGGGAGGGTGCAGCTGTCCTGGGTATGGGGCTCTGGTGGCTGGTCCAGCCACGTGCCAGAGGCAGGGAGGACTGTGACCCACAGACTCAGGCCCACGGACTCCTGCTGGAGGCCCCTCCCCAGGTAAGGCTCAATGCGGCAGCCTAGCCTTCGTCCTGGAAATCCTGAGTAAGGAGTCGCAGAGGTGGTGTACGGGGCTCCGCTTCCTCCCAGCTGGTGGCTTCTGGCAGAACTTTCCAAGGTTGATGGGAGGCTACCTCTGATCAACACTATCAGTTTTCTATAAATCCAGCATTTATAGGAAGTCAGGTCTCCTAATCCTTAAGTTTGGTCCCCCTGAGGGTATATGTGTGAGAAACTCCACTTTGTATATCCTCTGGTTCTATTTATATAGTTTTGGCCGCGTGGCATGTGGGATCTTAGTTCCCCGACCAGGGATTGAACCCATGACCCCTGCCTTGGGAGCATGGAGTCTTAACCACTTAAGCCCACGAAGTCCTCCTCTGGTTCTATTTTAGACTGAAAGTTTTGCACATGCCTTGGGATTGCTGATCCAAGAGGGTGCTGACCAAGATGGGTGCCCAGGCTTCTGCCCTAGCCGCCTCCGGAGTGTGGGGAAGGTCTGTGCCACCCCTCGAGGCCCCGCACCCCTCCCCAGGCTTGGGGCCCCTACTTTGCTGGGGCTCCCAACACACCGGCTTCTGTGCCCTTGGCCCAGGGCCTGGGCTGCTGTCCCCAGTCTGCGTGGTGGCTCCTTCTCGACCTTGGGTCTCCGCTGAAGGGTCCTCTCCTTGGGAGGCCCTCCCTGACACCTGGCATCCTCCGTTGGTTGGTTTTCTCATTTGTCCTTTGTCCCTCCCCTGGACTGAGCTCTATGACGACCTCCTCCCCCAACCTGGCTCCCTGCTGCACCCCTGGCTCCATTGCCAGGAGCCAGTCTGCTCTCTCCACCCACCCCAGGGCAGGCAGAAGCACCAGGGGCCTGATGGTGGCCCTTACATCTCCCAAGGCCCTCTCACATCCCCCGGGGGCCTTCCCTCCACCCTGTCCCTGCGCCCCTCCACCCCCACGGCTGCGTGGCCCTGCTGAAGTGAACGGACGCAGCCAGATCCTTGTGCCTGAAATTCCACCCTAGTGCGCCTCCCTCTTTTGTTCAGTCGCTCAGTCGTGTCTGACTCTTTGTGACCCCACAGACTGCAGCATGCCAGGCTTCCCTGTCCTTCACTATCTCCTGGAGCTTGCTCAAACTCATGTCCCTGGAGTCAGTGATACCATCAAACCATCTCATCCTCTGCCGCCCCCTTCTCCTGCCCTCAATGTTTCCCAGCATCGGGGTCTTTCCCAATGAGTCGGCTCTTTGCATCAGGTGGCCAAAGTAGTGGCCAAAGTATTGGCCAAAGCTTTTCCCTCTGGCTTGCCCCAAACACTTGCTGAATGTCTATCTGTCTGTCTGGGCCCCAGGCTTGGTGTGGGGAGCGCAGGCCCACCTGACTTAAGAGAACAGTGTGGGGACAGAGGTGGGCAAGGCAGGGGATGAGGCCTGTTGCTGCCAAGGGTGACAGACCCAAAGCAGGGGTTGCAGGAGACGGGACACCCCTGGTTCAGTGGCCCCCTGGTCATGTCCAGGGGCAGTTAGGGTTAGGGCTGGGGCACCTTGGGGGGTGCCTTGCTTTGGGAACACCTGTTCTCAGCGCCCACAGAGCCCTTTCTGTGGGATGTTTGTAGGTCTCTGCATCCAGCCCCTCTCCTCATCCCCAGAGCCACCCTGGAGTCCCCGCTTCCACCTCAGAGGCCTCAGTGGTCTCCCTTCTCCCGTGACAGACGTTCCCCACGTGCCCCTCACCAGCTGTTGTCTCATACACACACCTCCTGTTGCAGGCACTTCAGATACGTAGACCCCTCACCACTGCCCCATGATGTGGCCATATCATCGCTCCATTTCACTGGTGAGGAAGCTGAGGCCCAGGGAAGTGGTAAGGCCCTGCCATCTGGCTGCAGGGTCTGGATGCTGCCTCAGGTGGCCTCTGTGCAGATCCAGGCCTAGCCACCCCCTACCCCCGCTCCCCCAGCTCGAGTCAGCCTGTGTCCCCGCCTGGCACAGACCAGGGGCACCAGCTGGTCCCTCACGGCTCTGCTCCTGCTCTTCCACCTTCCCAGACCTTCCCTTCAGCCCCTTCTTGGTCCCGGCATGTCTGGGCTCCCCCGAGGGCAGCGTGCCTCCTCCGGCTCCCTCCCTCAGTCACCTAGTATTTAGCAGTTAGTGTTAGTCGCTCAGACATGTTTGACTCTTTGCAACCTCATGGAGTCCTCCGTCCATGGGATTCTCCAGGCCAGAATACTGGAGTGGGTAGCCATTCCCTTCTCCCAGGTCTCCCGCATTGCAGGCCGATTCTTCACCATCTGAGCCACCAGTCATTCCGTAGTTCTTAATCCAGGCCTACTCCCTGGAGCCAAGCCAGCAGAGAAAGCGGGGTTCAGAGCCTTGTGCCCAGGGAAGTGGCCTCAGTGCCCCGTCTGGCTGGTCCAAGAACTGGCTCCCGGTGTGGCTCTGCCTGGCCATTCTGTGGCTCGGTTCCCTTATCTGTGGGTGGGGAGAGCGGCAGCTGTGCCCGCCCCCCCACTCCACCCCCCGTTTAACAGGTTTTGCCAGGACATTCTGGTCACCTGGGCAGATGGAATCCTTCCCTTGAGTCGATTCCCTCTCTCCAGGGGATGCCAGGGGAGCAGAATTCCTGGGGACTGAGGGTCCTGGTGCACCAGACCCACCCTCAGCCATTCTTGTCCAGCCCAGGGCAGGACTCCCAAATCTGCAACCCCACTGCACTCCAGGTCTGCCTGTTGGCACATGCAGGATGCTTGGGGAGCCTCAGTCTTCCAGCTCATCTTCATTCCCACAAGCCCTGGGTGGCGGAGTGAGTAGCTTAACCTCTCGAAGCCCCATGTTTCTTCATCTGTGAAATGGAGACCCACGTACCTTCCTTCAGGCTCGGCCCCGGGAATCTGCCCCTGAGTTTTTCTCCAGCCCTCGCATCGAGCAGCGCCTGGCTCATAGCAGGTTCTTGGTAAATGTGCACCAGCAGCCTGGGTGACGCGCTGACTGTCAAGTGACCCCGGGTGTAGGCTCGCTCCTCGTGGAGCCGGCCTGATGGGTATGAACCAAAGGAATGAATAAAACAGGGAGATGACTCAGCATCAGCTGTTTCTCCCACCTTGCCAGAGCTCTGGGATCCGTCATGTTCTGCAGCCACCTCCTCGGCCCGTCTCTCCTCCATGTGGGATCGGGGAACCTCGCGTCGGAAAGACCCTTATTTAGTTCCAGACTCAGAGGGAGGTGGTTGCCATCTTCTGGTCCCTGAGACACTGGTTTCCTCTGCTGAGCCCCAAGGAAGAACCCGGAAGTGGTGGCAGAAGCTCCAGGGAAGTTGATTGAGGCCAATAGAAAGAAGAATTTCTAGCAGCCCAAATGGCCTGGAATGGGCAGTACTCAGAATTGGATAAGCAGAGGCCAGATGGGCACGTGGGAGGGGCACTGACCTGGGCCAAGAGGTTTGGTTCTGAAAGCCAGATAAGTCACTGAGAATGTGCTGCAAGGTGATGGGTGCCAGTCAGCAATAAGGAGCCCCCCACCCCAAATTGGCCCAGTCATTTACAAAGCTGGCCAGGAGCAAAGCCTGGCACACGGAGCTAGGCAGAGCCCTTGGGTACTGTAGAGCAGAACTGGAGTGGGGTGCAAGGCAGAACTTCGGCTCAGTCAAGATGCCCGCTGAAGCACATGGCAGCTGGTGAGAGTCCATCTGAAGGTACTCTTGGGTTGGGGGCTGTAGACTCCTGCTAGGAGTGGAGAGAGAGGGTGGGCTGTGCAACCTCCAAGATTTCCCCCATGGATATTCCAAGAGTGCCCTGAGCACCTCCTAGGTGTCAGACCTGTTCACTGCTGGCCCCCTCTGCCAGCTGGAGGAGTTGGGTGCCCCGTGGCTGCTCCCAAGCTGAGGACACCAGGGATCACAGCTGTCAGCAAGGTGTTGCGAGGCAGACGGGGTAAGGGGCCAGAGGGTGGTGAACAGGGGACATGGCCGTTAGGACAGAAGCTGCAAGACCACAGCGGAGGCTGGCAGGGGCCAGGGTGAGGCCGGCTAAGGGCCGAGCTAGGACCCTGGTCAGCGCATGTGAGCTCAGGACCATGGAGAGCGCCACAGGAGCCTGGTCACCAGGTGACAGCTGTCAGGGTGCATCCACACCCGGGAGGCTGCTGCCCGCCTGACTAGCACACGAGTCACAGCCTGTGGCCTCCAGGGAGCACCTGTCTTCTCTCTGGCTGGCAGCCCCCACTGGACGCAGCCTGAGCCCAGACCCCAAGGCCGTGACTGGGTCGTGGGCTTTGGGCTCATCTTCTCTCACTTCACAAGCTTATCAAGCAGAGGCCGGGGGAAGAGGTCACAAGAAGGAGGGAGGAGCAGGAAGAGGCAGGGTAGAAAGCCAGTCTGTTCAGCTGGAACCTTCCGAGCACGGCCACGGCTGTGAGTCAGTACAGAAAGAGGAGGCCCAGGGTGGGCTGGTCTTGCCAGCATCCAGGGTCTGGGTCAGCTTCCTGCGGCCATGATTATCTGACTGTCGGGAAGCATCCGGTCCATTCCCTTCACCTTCCTGCAGGAGACCCAGGGCCCTGAGGCTGGTGCAACCCACGAAGTGAGTGAATGAGTGGGTGTGCTTGTGTGTGTGTGGCCAGGGGTCTTTTAGGAAGTCTTCCAGAGAGTCTCCCAGTTCTTCCCTCCTTTCTGTGGAGCCCCAGTGGAGCCCAGGGAAGCAGGGCACTGTCTTCCAGCCTATCTTCCATCAGACTCAGGTTCTGACCAGGCTCCAGCTGAGCGCCCCCACTCGACTCCTTGCTGCTGTTAAACAAGAAAGCACCCACCAGGCCCCAGGCCCTGCCAGGGGCTCAGCTCTGGTTGAGCCTGTGCACCTGCTGCCCCCTCCCCCAAGCTGAAGGCCCTCCCTACTCTTCTTCCAGGCGGGGGAATAACAGTAGCAGTAAGAAGAGCTAATGCTTATTGGCTTCTTATGCTGTGCTAGGAGCTTCACATGGGTTATTATTGAACCCTCATTTTCTAGATGAGCCAAAGAAGGAAAGTTACTTTCACCTCCCAAAGGCCACGCAGATAGGAAATGGCAGAGCCAGAAGTTTGAGCTGGGCTATCTGGTTCTAGGCTCTGTGCACCCAGGTAGCGGCTCTGGTTGAAGCTCGCTCCATGACAGCTCCCTGCCCCTGGGGGCTCGTGTCCAGAGACAAGGAGACAGATGGATGGGGGGATGAGCTCAGCGCTGGGAAGAAGGGACAGGGTGGGATGGGGCTCTGGATTGGTCTCTCTGATATGATGTCTTCATTTGAAGTGGGCAAGGCACTTAGAGAGGACCCTGCAGAGACAAGAGCTGCCTCCAGCCCAGCTCTGCCATTTTCCATCTCCATGGAAGCGGTTGAGGGATGACTTCCGCCCCAGTCAAAGGCGGGTCCATCCTGCAGGTCCTGGAGTCACCGAGGGTGACTCGTTGCTCACACTTCACGCCAGGTCTGACTGCTGCCTGCACCTGACCTCTCACCCAGACAGTGCCGCGGCCTCCTCACCACCCTCCCTGCTCTGTTCCAGTGACCATCGGTCTCAGCAGAGCAGCCCAGCTGAGCCCGGACGCTTAGCATCCTCCTGTGAAAGCCGCACTCCAACACTCTGTTCCGCTGCCCTTCCTCCCTTGTCTTCTGGCCTCACTCTTTTTAAGGCCCGCTCTGGCCACCTGATTACCTCTGAACCTGCCTGCTCTTAGCCTTTACCGTTTTTTCTCCAGAGCACGTCTTTTTAACATACCGTATGATTTGGCTCATTTTAGTTGCCACAGCCCCATGCCCCGCTCGCCCTGCGCCGGCTCCATGAGGTGGGGGCTCTTGTGGTCCTGATTTGCTGTGCTCCCAGGGCCAGTGCCGCGCCTGGCACTCAGCCAGCTCTCAGTAAGTAGCCACTGAGTAAATGGAGGAGATGGGTTGGGTGACACTCTGCAGGGGGTCACGTGGGTCAAATGCAGTGGTGGCTGTTGCATCCATGGACTGTCTTTACTGGTCACTGGTGGACTCTCCATGGGACCCTTATCACCTGACTTGGGCTGAACTTGGCAGATGGAAGGGACCCAGGACAGCTCTACCAGTGGATGAGATCCCACTACTGATCCCACCGGATTGAGTCCGACCCGTACTAATTGTGTGTCACTGAGCAAGTTATACCATCTCTCTGGCCTCGGTCTCCTCATCTGTAAAATGGGAGAGACACTAGTACCTGCTGCATGGTGGGGGATCCGGTGAGGACATGCATGTGGTGTGCTCGGGATAGTAGCTGGCCTGTAAGTGTCGGTGACCATCAGCTTTATCGGTACACCTGATGGTTCGAGATGAAGCTTTATAATGGAAGGAGAGATGCTGAAGCGGGGGCCTAGTTTGGTTCCACGGCTTTAGTCCGCAGCCAGGCCAGAAGCATCAAGGAGGGCTGTGGCCTCAGATGTAAGGAAGCAGAGCCTGGTTCGGGAACAGAACTTACCTTCAGGTCCTGATTCAGTCGCCTTCCTAATATCCTTTGGGGAAAGTCTTGCCATCTTTCTGAGTCTCAGTTTCCCCATCTGTGAAAATGGTGGTCAAAATCCTCAGTCTCCCTGGGTGGGCAAGACTTACATGAGGCCCCAGTGCCCATGCTTATTTATTTATTTGGTTTCTTGTTTATAGGCCACTCAGTCTATAAAATGTATTTGAAAATAGTTGAAGATAAGATAAAAAGAGATCAGGCCAAGAACAAGTTCAACAACAACAAAAAACCCAACCCAGACAGCTGTGTGTAACAGTGTCCCAGAAAACTTGGCCTCTGAGGCCCTGCCTTGCTCTGGGCCAGCCTCTGTGTCTGTCAGCCTCCCAGCAGCTCGAGCCATGAGTGAGACACACTCTATTCTGTGATTCTTGGCAGCAAGCCGGGCTGGGGCCTTATCACACGGCTTCACCCTGAAGGCCCTGCAATTCAGAGGGGGACCCCCAGGCCCTGGAGGGTCTGTCCTCCAAAGGGCGCAGCTGGCCAGGGGTAACTAGATCCTGAAAGCCAGTCTGACCGGGGAGCCGAGGGGCAGCTGGGTCAGTGTGACCTCAGCAGGGCTGTGGGGGCCCCTTGCCTGAGTTTCTCTTACCTTCCTGGGGCCTGTGTTCACTGCTGCCAGGAGATTTTGTCTGAGTGGCGGCCCCAGCCTTGCCCTTCACCGCTCACGGCCAGTTCAGTCCAGGGAGGGCTGGGATTGGGGTGTCTCACAGAGACAGGCTGCAAGTGGGGAGCAATGATCCACCAGAAGGATGGGGCTGCCTTGCCAGGTCCTAACAGCCCTCGGGAGGGTCACTCTGGAGACCTCTGCCATGCTGACCTCAGTCTGCAGTGTCGCCTTGTGCCCGGTCCCTGCCCCAGCAAGAGCTCCCATCCTTCTGCCTCTACGGGCCTCAGCCCTTTGCCATTCCATTCACCCCACCGGCCTGGCCTGCCTTTGCAAGAGCAGGGCTAGAATCCATGGTGGGGATGGGAGCTCCCTCCCGCCTCCCCCAAAGCCAGTGGAGACAAGTCCCCCCCTCTGCCCCGGGGCAGCTGACATTTAGCAGAGGTCAGGCCCCCACCCCTGATTGTCCTGCCTCCTGCGGTTAGCTGTGCCGACCCCCGCCTGAGGCCAGGCTCCAAGGGGTCAGCATTTAAACCAGAGGAGAGGGTACATCTAGGTCTTGAGGGCACAAGTACCACCCTGGCCAGCAGGATCGGCAAACTCGACTGCTCCTCACTAGCGTGCTCAGGACTCCTTACCAAGGTGAGGCCAGGGAGGGTGGCCCTTCCTCCCCAACATGAAAGGGTGGGAGGAGATGGTCCTTAAAGCTTGTTCTAGATCAAACATTGCATGATTGTGTGCCTTATGACCATGTAGTTTAGAGAAAATTTATGTTGGAGTCTTTTAGCCTTGAACTTTGAAAGAAGTAGAAATCTGTTGAATACCTGCTGTACACCACGAACTCTGTACCCATTTCACAGATGTAGAAACCAAGGTTCAGAATGGTGAGGAGCCTGGCTTAAGTTAGGAAAGGAAGGGGAGAGTATAGCAAGAACATGCTGAAATGACCCAGAGGAAGAACCAGAAACATAAGGAGAGGCCACAGAAAGAAACATTTTGAGGGAAAGGACAGTGCCCCCCACCCCTGCCACAGGGAGATCTATGGAAGGGAAATGAAAACACGTTTCTGTCCCAGCCCCTCCTCTTGACTGTAGGTCACTCCAGCCAAGGCACTGGTCATGAACTCAGTCATGCCTGACTCTTTGCAGCCCCATGGACTGTAGCCCGCCAGGCTCCTCTGCCCACGGAATTTTCCAGGCAAGAATACTGGAGTGGAGTGCCATTCCCTTCTCCAGGGGATCTTCCCGACCCAGGGATCGAACCTGAGTCTCTTACATCTCCTGTGCGGGCAGGCAGATTCTTTACCACGCAGTGCCACCTGGGAAGGCACTTGTCTGACTTGGCCAAATGGGTGTAACCTCCTGGCCGCTGTGCCCTCTTCCTGGGCTGTGTGGTGAGAGTCGGAGGTGCTGCGCAGGCTCGCTCATGAGATAGACAGCATGACTGAGTGAAGTGTGGAGTCCAGCTTAGAGTAATGCGAGCCTTTCAGTTTCTGAGGTGTGACCCCACACTGTGGCAATGGAAGTGTCCACACTCGGGGAGATGGGGTGAGGGGTGTTAAGGAACCCTCTGAACTATCTTTGCAACTTTTCTGATAAGCTACAAATATTCTAAAAAAAGGTTTTCTTTTTTTAATTGTGAAAAACAATATATATGGCTCTCCATTCCACAACCATAAACTAATTGATAAACTGTGCAAACAAGTAGAGAATGGTCATAATCATGATTCTTCATAGAGAATGATTCATTCCAAATGAGTATGGAATAGGTGAAATTTAAGAGGAAATAGTAGATTTATTTCTACTGACATGAAAATCTCTTTAACCTGTCATTGATTGAGGAAAACCACTTGATTGGATGAGCGTTCAATAGAATAATAATTATAAAAAATATTAAGCTGAGAACAGAAAAAATGCATATAAAACCAGTGATGCATCTCAAGCAGATAAATATTTATGGCTGGATATCAGTCAACTGTCCTGCATGGGGCAATGAAGGAGTTGTTATTCAGTCGCTCAGTCATGTCTGACTCTTTGCAACCTCATGGACTACGGCACCCCAGGCTTCCCTTGTCCTTCACTATCTCCTGGAGTTTGCTCAAACCCATGTCCATTAAGTTGGTGATGCCATCCAACCATCTCATCTATCATCCCCTTCTCCTCCTGCCTGCAATTTTCCCCAGTATCAGAGTCTTTTCCAATGGGTCGACTCTTTGCAGCCAGTGGCTAAAATATTGGAGCTTCAGCTTCAGCATCAGTTCTTCCATTGAATATTCAGGGTTGATTTCCTTTAGGATTGACTAGTTTCACCTCCTTGCTGTCCACGGGACCCTTAAGAGTCTTCTCCAGCACCAGGATTCAAAAGCATAAGTTCTTGTGTGCTTAGCCTGCTTTATGGTCCAACTCTCACATCTGTACATGACTTTTGGCAAAACCATAGCTTTGACTATATGGACCTTTGTTGGCAAAGTGATGTCTCTGCTTTTTAAATACACTGTCTAGGTTTGTCATAGCTTTCCTTCCAAGATGCAAGCATCTTTTAATTTCGGGGTTGCAGTCACCATCCTCTGGGTAACTTTTTCTTAATTTTGTTTATTAAATATGTTAGAAGTGTTCCCTTGAGACCTGGGAATTTTTTTCAGTGAAAAGGGTTTGTTAATATAGTCACACACACACACACACAAAGATAAAGAGACAGACAGATAGACAGAAGGAGAAAGCATCCTGGACAGTGCAGGGAAGGGACCCCATGTCTGCAACCTACAACCCACTCTCCCCCTCCCTTAGGGCCTGTAAGCCCCCTGGGGCAGGTTCTGCATTGCAGGGTTGAGCTTCTCCCAGGATGCATTCTGTTCCTGGAGTAAAGCCCAGCGATGCAGCTGGTACAGTCATGGTGGGGTGGGCCAGGTGCTGGAACCTGCTACTGTTTTGCCAAAAGTTTTACTTTCCTTTTAGTAAACCTTTTCAAAGGATTCGTTGAAACCACTCTTGCACACAAACAATTTCTCTATAGAAGATGATTTAATTTCAACATACAGTCATTAAAAGAAAAGAAATAGAAACAATAGAGAGAAGTAAAAACATATATATCACCACATTGGGCCAACAACCTACATCCAGACTTGACCATCTCTGGGAGGTCCCTGCAATCTGGAGTCCCAAACGGGAAGGGTCTTGGGCGGTGCACACACCCCACGGGTGGTGATCCAAATCGCAGCTTTGAGGGCTCCTGTTTATAATCCCAGGCCACAATCTGATACCATCAGCAGTTTGTGTTCAAAAATGCAGCTCTGGGTTGTCTTTTTTGTTTTTGTTTCTTAACTTTTACAATGTTGTTTGTTTCACCTTGTGAGTCACAAGATTTCATTGGACCCCAGGGGGTTGGCCAGACCTCCAAGAATCCCAAGACCCATTCCCTTTCTTATTTAAAGTGCTGCCTGACTTGCTGTGCTTGCGGGCAGGCAGGGGATCCAGGCAGTGTGCAAGCAGGCCAGAGGCTTGCTCTCTTGCTTCTGAAGCCTGAACACGACTTTTTCTACTTTAATTTCCCTAAAGTTGCATTCCCTCCCTCAGGAGAAGAGCCTCAGGCTCCCCTCACCAGGTCTGCAGACTCCTGACCCCTCTGCTTTCTCCCATTTCCTGTAGGATGAAGATGAAACGCTACAAGCTGTTTCTCATGTTCTGTATGGCCGGCCTGTGTCTCATCTCCTTCCTGCACTTCTTTAAGACCCTGTCCTATGTCACCTTCCCCCGCGAACTGGCCTCTCTCAGCCCTAACCTGGTGTCCAGCTTCTTCTGGAACAATGCCCCGGTCACACCCCAGGCCAGCCCAGAGCCGGGTAGCCCCGACCTGCTGCGGACCCCACTCTATTCCCACTCACCCCTGCTCCAGCCACTGTCGCCGAGCAAGGCCACGGAGGAGCTCCACCGGATGGACTTCGTGCTGCCCGAGGACACCACCGAATACTTTGTCCGCACCAAGGCCGGGGGCGTCTGCTTCAAGCCAGGTACCAAGATGCTGGAGAAGCCCCCATCGGGGCGGCCAGAGGAGAAGATGGAGGCGGGCGACGGCGTGTCGTCGTCGTCGGCACGGGGCCCGGGCCGGCAGCTGCTGAGCGCCCGGGAGCGAGCAGGGGGCCGTGGCGGTGCGCGGCGCAAGTGGGTGGAGTGCGTGTGCCTCCCGGGCTGGCACGGGCCGAGTTGTGGCGTGCCCACCGTGGTGCAGTACTCCAACCTGCCCACCAAGGAGCGCCTGGTGCCCCGGGAGGTGCCGCGACGGGTCATCAACGCCATCAACATCAACCACGAGTTTGACTTGCTGGACGTGCGCTTCCACGAGCTGGGCGACGTGGTGGACGCCTTCGTGGTGTGCGAGTCCAACTTCACGGCGTACGGGGAGCCGCGGCCGCTCAAGTTCCGCGAGATGCTGACCAACGGCACCTTCGAGTACATCCGGCACAAGGTGCTGTACGTCTTCCTGGACCACTTCCCGCTGGGCGGGCGGCAGGACGGCTGGATCGCCGACGACTATCTGCGCACCTTCTTGACGCAGGACGGCGTGTCGCGGCTGCGCAACCTGCGGCCGGACGACGTCTTCATCATCGACGACGCCGACGAGATCCCCGCGCGCGACGGCGTGCTCTTCCTCAAGCTCTACGACGGCTGGACGGAGCCCTTCGCCTTCCACATGCGCAAGTCACTGTACGGCTTCTTCTGGAAGCAGCCGGGCACCCTGGAGGTGGTGTCGGGCTGCACGGTGGACATGCTGCAGACGGTGTACGGGCTGGACGGCATCCGCCTGCGCCGCCGGCAGTACTACACCATGCCCAACTTCCGCCAGTACGAGAACCGCACGGGCCACATCCTGGTGCAGTGGTCGCTAGGCAGCCCCCTGCACTTCGCCGGCTGGCACTGCTCCTGGTGCTTCACGCCCGAGGGCATCTACTTCAAGCTGGTGTCAGCCCAGAACGGCGACTTCCCCCGCTGGGGCGACTACGAGGACAAGCGGGACCTCAACTACATCCGGAGCCTGATCCGCACGGGGGGCTGGTTCGACGGCACGCAGCAGGAGTACCCACCGGCCGACCCCAGCGAGCACATGTACGCCCCCAAATACCTGCTGAAGAACTACGACCAGTTCCGCTACCTGCTGGACAACCCCTACCAGGAGCCCAAGAGCACAGCGGCCGGTGGGCGGCGGATCAAGGGTTCGGAGGGAAGGCCACCCGCCAGGGGCAAATTGGATGTGGTTGAAGGCTAAGGCTGCATGATCTTACAGGGCCCATGGCAGGGTGGGGGTGCGGTGGGGTGTTGGCACCTGCCCCTCCTGTTGTTACCTTTTTGCCTCCTTCTACCCTCTGGGTGGTTCCTCAGAGGACCAGGAGTGGAAGGTGGGGGAGGCTTTCCTACTCAAGGCCCTGTGAATCCAGGGTCAGGCCTGTGAGCTCAGAAAACACCCTTCCTCACCAGGGGAGGAGAGCAGGTGCTACCGCCCCCAGGAGTGCTGCGGCTGGGAGGTGCCCACAGAGAGCGCAGGAGGGTTACGGGGGAGGAGGGGTGGGTGGGCAGGGTGGGGGAGGGAGCCTGCAGGAACCCCCTAGGGCAGCCAGGTGGGGCGCCGCAGTCCCCTCCAGGGAGAAGAAGCCCACCATTTGGCCTCCTGGGGCTTTGGACCCACGGTAGGAAGGGAGAGAGGCCAGGAGTTCCCAGGGCTCTGTAAATAGTCGCATTCGGGCCCTGGACGAAGCAGGCACACCAAGGTGGGAGGGAATGAAAAACGGCAGCTGGGAAGAAGCTCCAGTGGGTGCTCTGTAGTGTCCTCAGGAGTGCTGGGCCAGAGGGAGTGGGGACCTCCCCCCTCGTCTCACAGGACACACAGCACAGACGGCCCTGTGCCCCTCAGCCCCTCTGGAGATGACGCAGGCCTGGGGAAGCCTGGGAGGTCTTCTTTTAGGTTCCCAAGCTGGCCTTGACATTTCTTCTTACTTCTTAAATCGCTGTCTTGTGGGCTGCCCACCCAGTCCTTGCAAGTTCCAAGAGTCCAGTTCTCAGGCTGGGATGGGACCATCAGCTAGCCTAGTAGGTGAGATGTGGGGGTGTGGGGAGCCTCCTCCCCCGCCACCCCTTCCCACTAGAACCCACAGCCCCAGCTCTCCACTGCCTCAGGTAGAGTCACTCTTGTGCCCCTTTGGGGGCTGGCTTGGGGCCAGGAAGGGGCCACGAGGCTGCTCTGGGCCCACGAGGGACATTAAGGCCAGTTGTTTGTCATCTCATTCCTTAGTTGCCTCGGGGGAGGGGGCTGTATATGTTAGAGTAGATTCTAAACTGCTGTAATTAAATACAGTGGTTTCGGCAGACAGAAGCTCGTTTCTAACTTACCTCTTTGGAGGGTGGTGGTCTGGAGGGCAGCTCTGCTTTCCTGCCTCACACCTTCCAACTCTGGATAGAGTGGTTGCTCCAGCTCCCACCATCATGTGTGCATCCATGTCCGAGGGAAACAGGAAAGTGCAAAGCCTTTCTGTTAACAGCATGAGCCGGAGATGGCACAGTCACTTCTGATGGCATCTTGCAGGACTCAGTCACTTGGCCACCTGCAAGGGAAGCGGGAAAAGTAGTTTTCAGCTGGGCTGCCCCTTTCACCCTTTAAAGGAAGGAGGGAAAAAATGAAGGCGCAGAGGATACTTACAGGGACAAGGGGCGTCTCTGACCCTGAGGGAGGAGGGGAGAGGGCAGAGGTGACTGTCGCAGTGGTGGGACCCTGCTGGCATGCTCACAGCTCCTGGATCAGCCCATCCTTGCCCGCCTCACTGGCGACCCAGGGCTGGGCCACTGAGAGCATGCAGTGGTGGGCAGGGAAGAGGCGTCCCCTCCCAACGGCCCCCTCGGGTGTTTAGCCAGTGATGCCGGGACGCAGAGCCTGCCTGTGAACGGTACATGTCTTTGCGTGCGTGTGTATTTATGGCATGGGTGCATGCTTGGTGTGTACTTGTTCGTGTCTGTCGGTGTGTCCCTGTACATATATGCCTGTGTGGGGGACGTGGGAGCAGGGCCCAGGCCTCCCCTTGCTGGGACCTGGAGCCTGTGGCCACACCTCCTGCAACTCCCCAAAGTGACTGAGGCAGAAGGGCAACCTGGGGAGCTAGAAAGCCAGGCTAAAAGGGATGTGGGGGTCTGTCCGTCTGTCTGTCTTTCAGTCCAAGGAATGAGAGTGCTCTCAGCCTGAGGGCTGTACTGCTGCGAGCCCGAGACCTCCCGGCCTCGTCCCTCCACGCCTCCAGCCGAGACGTTCTCAGCGTGTCTTACTGGGGGGTTTCCTGGGGAACCGGTGTGGTGTGGGGAGCTGGCCACAGAACAGCCTCAGGCAGGTGGGCATGAAGCAGGCTGGGGGGCCCCCACTGTCCCTCTGGTTGAGGGGGTGTCCCAAGGGAACCAACCCCTCCCTCGGAGTTAGAGAAGCGCCCCCTCCACCCCCTGGGCCCTCTTGGGGCTGAGAAGTGGCTCAAGAGGTCAGGGTGTCCCTGTGGCTCCAGGCCAGGTCCTGCCCACCAGCCACCTCTGCCCACCTCCCGGGGGGGCATCTCTGGGGACGCGTGCCTGAGCCCCAGCCCAGGGCCTCCCACCTTGATGGCCTCCTCACCCCACACCCCCCACACCTGTGGGGAGGTCCCCCCTCCAGGCTGGCAGGGGTCCCTGGCTTCCAGTTCGTCAGCTCAGGGGCAAAGGTAGAAAGAGGGAAGGAGCTCGGATGTGCCAGACCCCACCTTCCCTCTCGGACAAGGAGGGCCAGGCGTGCTCATGGTCACCCCCCAGTGGAGGCCTGGCCGTGGAGAGCAAGCACAGCCTGCAGGGTCAGGGGACCGAGGCATGGGGTCGCAGTTTCACTCAGAGTCACATCATACACTGGGAACTTCGGGGACAGGGGAGCCCTGGGCCACTCCCCTCTATGAAGGCAAACCAAACTGTGAAATGGGATGCCAGCAGGTGCTGGCCCTGTCGCGTAGCCACCTTCCTTCCTTGGGAAGCCCCGGCCCTGTGGTCTCCAGACTCATGGAGGCCCGGCCCACCCTGGAGGGTTTCCTTAGGGCGTGGTGGTTCCCACAGGCAGGCGTGGGAGAGCTTTGGGGACATAGGTGACAGGGTGGGGAACTAGGACTTGCCCCAGCAGCAGGTGGGGCCCTGGGAAATGTGTAATTTAAGGACACCGATAATAATAGTATTATTTTTTTTGTAAGGGAAAATCAATATGTACATTCTGAAATCATTTTCTCTGTAAATGGTTGGATTTCATTTCACCCTTAAAGGGATGCTTAAAGGAGAAGATAATATTAATAATAAAAACGCTACAAAGTCTAAAGATTGTACTTGAGTGGCCGCTCTGGGGGTGTGCTGGCGCAGGAAGGGGTGTGAGTGGGTGACTCTGGTCTTGCTGGGTCAGTGGGGGGCGGTGAGCCTGCCTGAGGACTGGACAGGCAGTCGGGGGGTGCATCCCCAGCATCTTCATTTAGGGATGCAGTTACCCCCACCCCCCACCCCGACCAAAAGAGCCTCTGACCTCCCACCAGTGGAAACGGGCCTGGAAAGGGGGCAATGACGTGTGGTCCTTCACAGAAGGAGGAAGTGGGTCTGGGCCTGGCCACACCCTCCTGAGGTAGGCAGGGACCCCTTTGGGGCTCTAGATCAAGACCCTGGTGCCTCTAGTGAGAGGGGAGTGATTCTTCCACTACTGTGCGTGCGCCTGTCAGGGGTCCTAAGGCCGCACACTTAGTGGGTGTGGGGTCAGACCTGAATTAGGGGTACCGACCCTCCAGGGAAGGTGGGGATGGCAGCCTCCAGGGTTGGTCATCTCTCCTATGGAGCTAACCTGGACTTGTGCTGTGATGGTGTCCGGGCCGTGGAACATGGGGGCTTCCTGGAGGCTTATTCCAGGTCTTTTGGATCCTGGCATTGTCCTGGAAGGGGAGTCGCTGGATATTTTCTAAGGAGAGTCTCAAAGATGAACTCTGCCTTGGTCCCTAATGGGGTGACTGTGCAGCCTCTGTCTTAGATGGAGAAACTGAGGCTGGGGACAGGAAAGAGGATTGACAGCGGTGTTGGTTGACCAGAGCAGAGGCTCACGTCTCCTGAGCACCTGGGAAGTGCCAAGCCCATAACTGACTCCTGGACTCCGAGCCACACCCCAAAGCCCAGGAAGGCGCCTGCAGGTGCAGGATTGAGCAGAAGTGGAAGAGATATAGCCTGAGCACCCAGGAAGTGCCAAGCACTTTATGCCCATAACTGACATCTGGAGTCCTAGCCACACACCCCAAAGCCCAGGAAGGCGCCCGCAGGTGCAGACTTGAGCAGGAGTGGGAGAGATGTAGATGCTTCATCTATCTGGAAGACGGCAATGCTGACCCACCCGCCACTTAAGTTCAAGCTTACGGCCTTTAAATTGTGTCTGATAGTGAATTATCACCATTGTAATCATTCACAAACATTTTTAATGAAATGCCTATTTTGTGCCAAACTCTGGGCTAAGAGAGTTCCCTCCCTATCACTCCCATTTTATTGCTGTGGGAAGTGAGGCTTGGATACATTCAACAAGGCAGGGAAGGGCAGTTTGCCTAACTCCATAAACTGAGATCTTAACTGCCAAACTTCACTCCCTCTCTGAGTCCATTCAGGGAGGAGGAGGAGGGTGGGGGAAGAGGTAGAGAGGATGGGGGTGATGCCAGTGCCATTGTTCAGACATCATCCAGGCATCTGACAGCCAGGCACAGTGCTAGGTCATGGGTCACCGAGAGAGAGGACAGTCCCTGTTCTCAGAGGGACCACAGTCAGTGGAGAACGCAGGGAACCATGACCTCAGGACAGAGAGGTGAGGCTGGCACAGAGTCCCCAGAATCCAGAAATTGGCATCGTGCAGGAGCTGGTGTCACTGTCTGTCTGTGAGCATCAAGTAAAACACTCCCCCCTCCACTGGCCATCCAGGTAGGTTTGGGGGCATTGATGGGCTCCATGACCTTGGAGGGGGGACATATATTTTCTTCCACACTCAGTCTTCTCTCTGTCAAAATAGCCCATAGAAAGCTTTACTGCATGCAGTGGATAAAATGAGATAAAGAAAAAAGCTTGGCTACCTGGTAAGCTCTATTAGGTTGGAAGAGACCAGAGCAATCGTGATGACTTCAGTCAAGACCCATTGTTAAAATCCTCCCAGTTTGCTTTGCAAGTGGGGGATTTGGCTGTGTGCAGATGAAACCCCCAAATTCCAAAGGCCCA